TCATAGACTGAAATGATCTCTAAAACCTTGATGTGCAGCTAGCAAATGTCCTAAACTGAAAATAGAATTTCAAAATAAGCTCAAAGATTCATATTTTTTTACAGGTAACTATCCAGGCACTGCAGAGCACCCACCAGTACAATGCAAGCAAGGAACAAGATTTTATACTGACTGAAATTAGTTTTGGTCAGTGGAAAGATCAAAATGAAGTATGGAAATCTTGCTGGAGAATTCCCTCATTAGGTAAGTCTTTGAATATGACTTACATTTAGCGGAAACATTGAGTTGTAGCTGCTGCTTCAATCTTCATTATTTTTGTTTCTGTTGTAGAAGGGAAGTCGTTTGGTGGATATGTCTTTTTTTCATTGAGTAATGGCCCAGAGTATCATGCTCCACAGGTATGCTACTTTTCCTTCATTTTCTTTGAGGTATATACTGAGAGAAAAGGGAGCCTTGAGGTATGCATGTATGAGAGGTATAAAGTAGGTTTGGTCCACCTTCCTAACCTGCACAGTCCATCAGCCAGGAAAATCCTCTGCCTGCAGCGCAATGCATCTCTAGACCGTTACTTGCTTTGGACTTTTATTAAAAACATTGGTCCAAAAGGGCCAGACTGCCACAGCAAGGCATATGTTATAAGTAGAAAAGCATGCTTCTCGATACCGTTACTTGTGTTGGCAGTCTATTGAAATAATTGGTCCACATGGGTCAGCCTGGCACAGCTTGGCATATGTTATCAGTAGAAAACCATGCTTGTAGCTCTCTCTCTCTCTCTCTCATTTGTTTGTTTGTTTGACTGGTGGGATAATGGTAAGCTGTTGAGGAGTACATGACGCCAGTATACTAGTTTATAGCTTCTTGACCTTTAGACCAAGCCCCTGATTATCGTGTTTGTATCAAGGCATCTACGAGAAACAGTCATGTACATACTACCAACTTGATTAGTGGCTTATTCGAATAAAAATTTCATGATGATAAAAGGGATTGGCAGCTTAAATTCAAAAATTTTAAGCAGCAAATATTTCAGCTCTACTAAAGTCGCATTCAGACTCGCTTCATAGCCAGAATCCTACATTCTTCAGCTGGATTGCTTTTAGTGTTGACACTTTCTTATTTGCTCTCAGATTGTAAATGCTGTGGGAGTGGCTAGGCATCTTGGAGCAACACTTGTGCTGCCTGACATCAGAGGAACCAAACTTAGGGAAAAAGGTGAGTCCTTGCACATAAAAGAAACCATCCACTCAAATGAATGGATATCACTGGCCACATTTGGAAGTCTCAAGTTGCAAGCAGAGCTATGGGAATTGTTCGATTCGATGGTTGGGACACTACAAAGTATGGGCTAGACAACGGGTGGGCGCTTTGCAGCAGTGGACTTGAGGTTTGATATGCTGGGAAAGAAGAGGTGACACGAATATGTTGATTCGAGTATATGTTGTCATAATGCTAAAGAAATTGGTGAATTTCTCAAGAAGATTGGTTTTCACAAAGAAACAACGATATACTTGACTCAAACTGGATGGCGTAGTAGGCTCGATGAATTGAAGAATATTTTCCCCAACACATTTACAAAGGTAATGCGTGCACTTCTTATTTGTGTTTCGAATTTCAGTTGAAGGAATTATAGCTTTTAATTTAATTTGTAAACTCACGAAGGAATTACAGATTTTAATTTCATTTGTAAACTCATGTGCATAGCATGCTCAGTTCATGCTCTTCTTGCCGTTCTAAATAAGATGATGTTTCAAATGATCCCACGCGGATTTTTCGACATAAGCTGCTCATTCTCTAAATATATCAATCTAGAAATGGTAAATTTTTATGTATAATGTGGATAATTATTGAAAACATGCAGAGCCCATCTAATTTAATTCCATAACTCGTTTACTGATAACCCTGGCGTTCTTTAGTTGTTACTTTATTTTGTGTTCTCGGTTGTGAACCTCTCCGCATATCATTGAAATTGTAATAGATTGTGCCTGCTGATTCTATGCCAGTTGTTCATTAACTTCATCATTTGCTCGTAAAGTGATGTCCTTATACCAGCATATCAGTCAATTCTATACAACTGTTGCAGGGAGCAGAATAGCTTCTGGCAAAATGCACATATTTGCTCCAGCTGAAAAAACTTCAAAGATGGCTAGTGACTATCTTTCCCCATACATGAATCGGAAAACCATATTGCACATTCTTGTTTCTGTTAAAGAGCTTAAATATGTATTGTGCAGTGACAGTCTAATGCTAACTACTGATAGAGTTTAAAGAATTGCCTAATGTTGGTTACAGAAAATTTCCCAATTTCTTCAACATCTTAACAACAATTTACATGTATGTCCATCGTCCTCTTTCCATTCAAATTTGAGTACGCAAGGTCCACAAGAAAAGGAAAAAAAAGCTAGTCGGTATTTATCCAATGCATAAATCCTTGCCAAAACTTCTAATTATAAATCCACAGGTGAAATCTTTCGTTCAACTGCATGATCATCAAGATGAAAATTCATGGCTTTTCTCATTTGGATTTGTTCACGTTCAAGAATCGGAATAATTTTAACGTATTATCACTTCAAAGGCTTAGTGAATAGTGTACCTCAGTGTTTACCTGAGTTAATTATATCATTGGTCATTTCTTTAATTTGTTTATCCACTGTCACTGAAAGAATAAAAGTGATTTGTATCCGTCGCCTGAATTCCGTTGAAGATGTTGACATGGCGATAAATGCCCATGACTATATACAATGGATAAATCACGCTTTCAAACTATTAATCGTGTTAGTAAAGGGTCATTGAACTTTAAATATTTTTTTATGACCACTGAACTTTTAAACTTGATCGAGATTCACTTATAATTGTATAGAGATGCACACAAATGGTATGGAATGGCCACCAAGATATTGGAGAAAGTCTTTCTTCTCAACAAAGTCTAAATGTGACATTCTTCTCAACAATCATCTTGTGAAGTTGACGGTGTCTCCTCTTGTATAAAAAAAAAAAAAAGTGTTATTACTAGAGTCGATGCATGACTTTCCATGAGATACTTCTTTAAATTGACCTTCTAAACCACACTTCATGCCATGGCTACATGACCAATTCTCTTCACTTTTGATTGACCGACAAGGATCTTACTTTTCATATGTTCCCATTTAGTTCCTTTGTTTCCTTCGCCTCTCGTATAAAAAAGAAAGTTATTACTAACCTTAGTTAGTGCATAACTTCTCATATGATGCTTCTTATTGTGACCTTCTCTACACAAATATTGCATGTCATGTTACTTTGAATTTAGTAGTTTATTTGGGTGGGTGAGATATAAAGTTTTCAAGCCACAAATGTCTATTGATGGGATTTATAACGTTTTCATAACAATATGAAAATAATTTTCTACTTTATAGTAATTATGGACATAGTTAACATAATCATTTCTTTAGTAAAAAAATACGTGGAATAACATGTGCACATGGAATGCTCGACAAGTCCCATTTTCTATGTGCTATACATCGTCATTTAAATTGATACAAATATTGTAAGAATTGAATTTTTATGTCCTACAAAATTATCTTATTAAAACATTCACATAAATGGTTGAGAAGAATGTCACATTTGAATTTGTTGAAAGGAAAAAGCCAGAGGTACAGTCAGAAAAAAACAGGGTGCTGATGTGACAGTGTCCTGTTCCCCTGTTTGTCTTTTTTCTCTTCCAATGAAAACGTGCCAAGTGTATTTTCTGTTGATTTAATGTACATTTTTTCTGTACTCAGACCGATTCTTGTTGAAAAGTGGCATTTTATTAAGAGTAATGATACACGTACAGGGGGAGGGGGGGAGTGGGTTCACTGCCAGGCGACTAATAGAGGGGGAAGGGGTGTATTTTTTTCCTTTTTTCTATTTAAACATGTGGGGCCCGTCAGTGTGAGTAACCGACAGGTCCTGTAGGTTTTGCTCCTGTACTTGGAGCAAAAACACTTTCATTAATCATCTGTATTCATTTTTATGCAATATAAAAGTTGATCCTGATAACAATTCTGAAAAATTCAGTAACCATGGAAAAATATTTTAAAAATTCAATGATCATTCAATTACATGAGAAAAAGTTGAGTACCATTTGGAGAACATAGTTTGTTTAGTTGGACAAAGTTAATGGCGTTAATATGCCATGTAGAATTTCCTTTCGCCATGTCCGCCACTTCTCTTACGGAGTTCACTTTAATGATGGATAGATTTCACTTTTAAAAATTTAGCGACCATATGAAAACAAGTTGAAGTTTAATGACATTCTAGTAACGCTGACAAAAGTCAATGAAAAAATGAAATAATTCACCAGTGTTTGCGCTTCTTGTAAAGTAAGTAATCAAATTCATAAATTGTGTGCTTGTTTATTACGTGTTGTATATATTAGTAAATCACGTATACATACACTGTTATATTTAACTTCTCTTTAACTTTTACAAAATAGAATTATAATAACGTCGAAAAACAATTGGTTTTCGTACAAATTATATAATAGTTATAGGTTTGCATGGCAAATCTTTTGATAAAAAAATTAGCAAATTTTGATAAAAGTTAACAAAATTTGTGATTGAAAAATTGATAAAAATTGTGGAGTCTTATGAAATGAGTGATTAAAATTAAAATTTAAAAAGTTGATAACAATTTATCAAACAAGAGAATTACAATAACATGTTATGCACTAAAGATGGTCAAAAGAATGGAAGCATATATTTAGAAATTATAGAGAAATAAAAATGTTTAGAATAATGCATAAATTTCATAAATCAAATAGTTCATTTATCCCTTGAAAATTGAATGAAAAAACAAATCCAACCCACAAAATGTAGATGGATGTTTTCATCTAGGTCTCTCATGTCAAAGCAAAGCACAACTAATTCTTCGATTTTTCGGTAGGTATTTGAATGAATTTTGGAATTGAATAGTCATACGTCAAATATGAGTAAAATAAATAAACAACCTCGAACCCTTTATATAATTAACCAAGATGAAAATTATTATTCTTTTATATCTATCAAAGAAGGGGACACAAACATTCCAAAGCTATTTACATAATCAACCAAGAAGTCAGCATATAATTAACTTAGAATCGTGTTTAAATAACTAATTTTTGTACTTATAAATAAAATTTTACTTATTTTAATAAAAAACAATTTAACTTTATTTCTAATCTTAACCAATAAAACTATTATTTATCACTTTTATTCACTAGTTAGTAATAATTTTAGCCAAAACATAGCCAAAAGTCCAACCCATCAGAGAAAACATAGTAAGAATCTCTATGGCTGCTATGATCATGACACAGAAGCTCACCCAATTCCCAGAAATTCTAAAACACCCTCATATTCATTTCATCGAGAAACTCAATTCAACAACAATAATTTCTGTTGACCTCGAAAAATAGTTCCGACACGTTGCCAACATAATAAGTCTTCACGTATGCTCCTCCTGCGCACGGTAGCATGCCGTTAGTCACTCGTGGTCTTTTTTGGTGGGGGTAGAAGCGGCCGCGAGCACTCCGACGATCAAGTCAGTATTCTAGTCAACCGAAAAGTAATGCCCGGCGGTGAAGTGATTACTGGAACGTGGTTGAGAATGTGTAAATATAATGAAAAACTCCTTAGAGTTAAAAGACTAGAATGCCAAGATTAGAATGGGAACACCTTACTCTTACCAGTATTGGGGTATTTATACTAGGAAATGGAAGATGTGGACCGTTGGATGAAGGGACACGTGGCTTCAGATCCCTGGCGAGTCACTCTCTCATAGGCGTCAATCCGTCAATCCATATGTTAGTGGACATTAAATGGTTTTTGACATATCAGCTGAGTTAACCGTTTGTAGCCTGCCACACGTCCCGTCAATCAGTCAGGAGCTTGACTTTGGAGATCTCCTAAAAGATCTTGGCGAGGGTGTGGCGAGGAGGATTGCGAAGTGCAATGAGTGCGGAGTGCGGGCCTTTGCATCCATCGTGAAGGGCGGATGAGTTCGGCTCTTTACCAAGTAGGACAATGGTATTTCAGTTCGGAGTTATGGAATAAGTCCGTCCGACATGGATTCAGTTTGTCTGCCACGTGACGACACCAAATTAGTTCAGTCAACATGTGGTGAATGAGGTGAGGGGCATTAGAAGGCCCTAACAATTTCGGTAAATCTTGTCAAGTAATCTAATCATTCCTTTTAACTGATTCAAGTGTTTGTTCACACTCAAAGAAACTCAGAAGTGG